TTTGTGTATGCTGTCTTAGTAAGCAATAGATTCATAGTTCAAAACCATTACTACTACATATCCCATATGCAATAAAGATTTCGAATTTACCAATTAAGTCAAAGCCGACCACCATGATGGAACAACAAAAGTGAACTGAACTGCAAGGAAAATTACATCCTGTTCCACGCCACTATTTCTATATATTCATTTACTTGTTCGTTTTTTAAAATATAATTCCTTATTGTATCACAATATTGTATTCATCTATTTTTAATTTTAGTCTCAAGATTATAATGTGTAGTACATATACAGAATCAATTATGGCTATGGAGTAAAAAGAATGAAAAAATATTGTACGTAAGAAAAGATGATCTTAGTCCCGGCCTTTTTATGATTCTCGGGCCGCTTTATATAAGGATTCACATGGGTCAATTGTAATAACTCATTATATTTATCCTCTCATATTTGACTATTATTATTGATAACTAGTATTTTCTGTTTTCCAAAAAAAAAAAAAAAAAAAAAAAACTAGTATTTTCTATGCACGATGCGCGAAAATAGGTGTCCAATATTAGTACTTTATATTAAAATTTTAGATTTATTTATATTTTAGATATTTAAATTATTGTAACTAATAATAATAATCTAAAACATTTTAATAAATTTAATATTTATAATTTAGGGAGAAGTGTCAAATAGGCCCATGTACTATTGTCAAGTGCTCAATTCCCACCATGAACTAAATTAAAGTCTAATTAACCACCAGGACTATGTGGTCTAATGGTACCCAGGTTGGACTTCCATTTGGAAGATTATGAGTTCGAGCCTCAGTGGAGGCGTTATTGGGTCTTTGTGTTTCAGTAGGTTGAGAAAGTATATGAACAGATACTACAATGTAATAGAGCCAGTAACTTTCAAAAAAAAAAAAAGTCTAATTAACCACACTTACCTACTAAATTTATTCAATTAGCTTTTTTTTGCAGGTAATTGACTTTTTCTGCAGGTTACCAATTCAATTATTAAAAAATAATTTCAAAATAATTTAAAAATTATTAAACAAAAAAAAAAAAAAAGGTCTAATTAACCACACTTACCTACTAAATTTATTCAATTAGCTTTTTTTTGCAGGTAATTGACTTTTTCTGCAGGTTACCAATTCAATTATTAAAAAATAATTTCAAAATAATTTAAAAATTATTAAACAAAAAAAAAAAAAAAAAAAAATACAGCCACGGGCTGTCCGGTGGCTACCATTTCAAAGACAGCCGTGGCTGTCCGGTGAGGATAGCCGGTGGCTGTATTTTTATTATTATTTTATTTTATTTTATTTTATTTATTTATTTTAATAATTAAATAGGTAACCTGTTAAAAAAGCCAATTGAACGAATTTAACTCATAGATGGACCTATTTGACACTTAATTTAGTTCGTGGTGAAAATTGAGCACTTCGCAGTAGTAGTTGGGCCTATTTGACACTTGTGCCTATAATTTATGAATTAACTAAGAAAACATATGGTGGATGCATGTGCGTGGTAACAATAGTGGAAAAGATAACGGAAGTTATAACGGTAAGTGTATGTTTGTCCAAAATATTGTATAGTACAGTTTTTATAGCATAATGTAAAAAAAATAAATAAATAAATAAATAAAAAATGAAGGGTATAACCATCATTCAAACTTATTATGTTTTTAGATAATAGAATATTATTCCATCATAAACTCCCACTTTCTTAGCCACAAGTATTTGTATAGTAGAAAACTCGTACAGGTGAAACCAAACCGCAGCATGAAGCTTACCATGTAATTTAGGTGACAGCGCAGGGCTTGTCTTGCAATATAGTTGGTAGCATAGAGCTTACTATACCATGCCATATATTATGTAAGTGGCAACAAGGAGCTTGCCATATTATGAAATTAATTATTTGAACAAGTTGAAAATAATCAACTAGTTAAAAATAATATAATAATATAATATAAAGAATAATAACAACAACAATACTACCAGGACTATGTGGTCTAATGGTATCCGGGTTGGACTTCCATTGGAAGGTTGTGAGTTCGAGCCTCAGTGGAAGTGTTATTAGTTCTTTGTGTTTCAGTAGGTTGAGAAAGTATATGAACAGATACTATAATGTAATAGAGCTGGTAGCATTTAAAAAAAAAAAACAACAATACTTACCTGATCTTTTAGCGCTGCAAGTTGGGATTCGCCTCTGCATGCATTTGTGACTAACAATGAAAAAATCAAGGTATTACAAGAGATAGAGATGTTGCAATATGATCGCAGTTGGCCAACAAATTCAAGATGAAAGAACTGTGTTTCAATGGTAATAAATTGAAATGAGGTTTATGTGAATAATGTATTTTGTTGTTGTGAGATATGAGATGGGGAACAAATTAAACTTAAGTGTTTAATTGGCTCTCAACGAGTACATCATTGATGGAGAAAATTGATTTCTCCATAAAAAATAAAAAATAAAAAAAAAATCTATTGATGTTACGTGTTTGCATGTAACACATTAATAATCACGGCATAGGGATTTTATGACAAAAATCACAGACTTTTTAGACTAAGCCAAATCGAAATTCACTATGTATAATTTGTAGTATATAAAATCAATCAGGCCATTCAGTAAAAAGAAGGAAGAAATATTGTACGTAAGAAGAGAAAAATTAATATTGTAAAATACTATATTGTCTTAGAAATTAACGTTAACTTAATGAAAATTGTAATAGATGGCCAAAAGTGGCAATGCTAATAAAGTCATAATACTAAATGTGATCAAGTTAAATATCGATGGCTAAATGTAACGACGTTATAAGCAGTCGTAAAACTAAAATTAAGTAAAATTATTTTTATTGTATTTTTAGTCATCAAAGTTCCATCTTTGTCGTTCGTCCTAACATCTCGTATTTGTTTTCGTCAATTAATACATACAATTAAAATTGAGTACGACTTTACAAACATTATTAACACTTGAATCAATTTGAATTGAGTACGATTTCACAAATGTTAACATCAAAGACAAACAGCAAACGTTAAAATTTTTTTTTAGGAAAATGAGATGAAGAAGAGGAATTATACCTACAAAAAGCAATTCATTATTCAAAACCATTACTACTACATTTGGAATAAAGAAAGATTTTGAATTTACCAAGTCATAAGAGAGCACCATCGTGGAAGAAATGGAATATAATTGAATTCATTTTCCACAGAGGAAGTTTCACTTTTTGTCTGAAGTCTTAACTTGTACACAACTTGTCCTTCTGATACGTAGTTGATTACCTAATTATATATGTATTTTTGTCATTTATTTTAATATATCACATGTTTATTTTTGTCTATTAATTTTAAAATTGTTACGAGTTAAGTATAATTTTGCAAGTAAATCTTAGTGAAACAATCTCATTTTGAAACGTATAATACCTTTTAGGAATGCATAAAAAAGTATTACATTTTAACTAAAAAGTATTACACATCTCACATAAGATTTATACTAATTTTGTATATGTACATAAACCCTATAAAAATAAAGAGTTAATTCCATTTTTTGTCATAAATTTATAGGTCTCAATTCACTTTAAGTCTTTTTTTATTTGAACATTCACTTTTGGTCCTAGTACTATTGTGGCATGACCATTTTTGGTCTTTTATCAACAAAATAATTTAAATATTGTTAAATACAATTGCATTTCGGTCTTCAATTATGAATATTGTCAAAAAAAAAAATTAAACATAAAAAATATAGTGGTTCAACCTAGTTTGTATAAAAAAGATTAAAATGTCTTTGTATTTAACGATATTTCAACGATTATGTTGAAGGAAGACTAAAAATGATCATACCACAATAATACTAGAACTAAATAAGGATGTTTAATAAAAAAAATTACTAAAAAGTGGACTGTCACCCATAAATTTAGGACAAGAAATGGAATTAACTCTAAAAATAAGCAGTCAAACATTAGAAGAAAGAATTAAAAACATAATATTATGATACAATTAACTCTAAAAATAAGCAGTCAAAGGATGGGTAAAAATAGTGGTATATATACAACCCACAATCTTTTGTCATTCCAAACACAAACTCCATGGAAGCTAGGCATGAAACAATAATTGAACAGAAAGCAGGCATATTTATCATCTTTTTCTTTAAGATCAGATAAACATGAAGACTATTCAACAGCTCATATTAGTAGTTCCTTGAATGGGTTTGCTATCGTAATATTATCCAAAATGGACCACGTAACCAATAATTTTTGTTCAACCATTGAATACAGATCATCTCAACAAGGAATATGAATATATTATATATACACACACATAAATGGTTGACCAAGAAACCATGGAATACCCAAAACACGGTCAAACTGGGTTGAACGCTGTCATCAACAACCAAATATATAATTCAACGACCAAACCATCCTTTTTGGTTGGGATAACGAGTGGATATATATATAATTTAATAAATATTAATATTAATTTCATTTAAATAAAACTTTTAGTTTTATTTTTCGATACGTTTTCACTTTTAATAATTAAATTCAAATTTGACCAAATTTAATCCTCAACCGTTACAAATATTACTTCACCTAAACTTAAATTGATTTGTAAGATCTAAGCTAGTTTATTTTCTTGTGATAATAATAACAGTGAATTTTCTGTGTCACATCCAAAAAAAAAAAAAAAAAAATCACTTTTACACACTATTTTTGAAATGTAGTGAAAAAAAAAAAAAATAAAAGTGACACTTTCTAACAATTGAGTAAATATAATATGTGAAAAATACAATTACCATAGAAGGAAAACAAAAAATATGTGAAAAATACAATTACCATAGAAGGAAAACAAAAAAAAAAAAAAAACAAACTGACCAGCGCTGTGAATGGGGATTAGTCAAGAGTATAGTACGAACTTAAAGACAATGTTGAAAAAATCGCTGTCTCCTACCGTTAGTTAGGGTTTGGTCAGGACACCTCACGACATGACAAAAAATAGAGGAAAAGCAGTAGGAATTGAAAAATAAGGAATGAAAGAACCATTTATAATTAAAAGAAGAACCAAAAATGTAATGTATCTTTAACCAACCCTATAGTGAGTAAACTGCCAAAGGCATCCAGTAGATGATGAAGCTAAAGGAGCTATATGTGCAACTCCTATAAGTCTGTAAATTAAAGATGAGATTTTGGACTAGACTGGGATTTAAGTATACAAGGACCTGTAAATTTCTGTTGTTTCTTTCTTTTCCTGTACAATGTTGTTTTTTAGCCATCAACTGATGATGCCTGCCTGCAGTTCTTCAATGTCAAAGAGACCCTTCAAACGAGACTTCCCGGGGCGAAGGCTTGGGGGATAGCTGCGAGGTTGCGGCCGCTGAGAGGCCGTGGAGCATTTTCAGGACTTCGACTGTGTCATCGAGATAGTACTTAGCCATGCTCGGCTTCTGACCAACGGTGCAAGCAAACACCTCGGCCATCTCGGGCAAGGAATGGTTGGCTACCGAGCTCGCAATGCTCTCGAACATGTCCTCGTCTGATCGGTCGTCGCCTATGCATAACACGAAATCGGATGGCTTCCCTTTGGCTTGCATTGTCGCCATAACGCTCTTAACGACTAGACCTTTGCTTATGTCCTGCAATTGACAAAAACGACGAGATTACAAGAAGATTCAGAGAGCCTGTGCTGATCATTGACTGGTGAAAATGTGTCGTACCTGCGGTTTCACTTCAACGATGTGTTGGCCTCGCTTAACCACCACGGGCTCGTTGGCAAGCACGTTTTCTAAGTGGTCAAGAAGCTCTTTTGCTTGCCATGTTCCAAAGTCCGGGTCGGCTTCCTGATGGTGCCACACTATGGCGGTTTCCTTCTGTTCGATAGACGACCCGTCTGTGGCCTCGGTGTAATGTTCCATCACGGGCAATACCACACTTTTCCAGTTTGGATCAGCTGCTACTGCCCGCGATTCCCACTGGGAATCCTTTGTCCATCTATTATAATAAGGAAAATCATAAGAGAATGAAATCACAAAAACCAAAAACAGCAAGAATCAAATCATTGGTAAAGTAATCGCACGAACCGAGTAAAGTAGCCATGTTCTGCAGAGAGACCGAGATTTGGGCAAGGGGAGAACCACTTGGCCAACGAGTCTCTTCCTCGGCCGCTCACAATGAACACGATATTCTTGGGATCACTGCACAAACTATTCAACACCGAAATCACTTCTTCGCTGGGAGTCTTGTCCACTTTGTCCTGTGGCATCATAGTACCATCATAGTCGAGAAGGATAAGCCGGCTATTCGTCCTATTGTAAGCCGAGACAATGTGTTCCACCGAGAGCTTCCTGAAATTAGGCCCCAAGGCAACAACCCGAAACCCGAACCCCAAACCGATCCCCCAGCACCTCTTCTGAAAATGATCAGCACAGGCTCTCTGAAGGTCCTGATCGAAACTCCTCGCCCAATAAGCAACATCGTGAGAAGAAACATATTTGTAATGCTTCTCGTGGCGCATTTCTTTCTCCGAATCGGGCATCTCCACAGCCAAATTCATTGCCTCGCCTACACTCTCGATGTTCCAGGGATTAACCCGGATTGCACCACTGAGAGACGGGGAGCACCCGATGAACTCCGAGACAATAATCACACTCTTTCTCGAGATCCCTAACCCCTCATTCCCCAACGCCTTATCCAAATCAGGGCTGCCCTGCCTACAAACCGTGTACTCATAAGGCACCAAATTTAAACCATCCCGAACCGCATTAACCACAACACACTCAGATATCGCGTAATGTGCAATCTTTTCCTGGGTAGAAACCGGGCCATCAATACAAACAATCGGCTCATACCCGGGACTACTAAACTTCCTATTAACCTCCCTAGCAGTCTTATTGATCTCATTCTGAACTTCTTGAATATCACTCCCTCTACTCCTAGGAGGGTTCATAATCTGGATTAAAACCACTTTCCCTCTTAAACTCGGGTTCATTTCGAGAAGCTCCCCCATTGCCAAAAACTTCAAACTTATCCCCTTAAACACATCCATATCATCAATCCCCAACATCACAACTTTCCCCCCATACTTCTCCTTCAACTCATTAGCCTTCTTGGCAGTTTCTTCTTGAGACATAACAGAGTTAAGCTGACCCATATGAATACCCACAGGCAAGATCTTAATACTAACAGTCCTTCCAAAATAGTCAATCCCAATATAGCCCCTCTTGGACTGATAATCCAACCCCAACATCCTACTACAACAAGCCAAGAAGTGCCTAGCATAATCAAAAGTTTGGAAGCCAATAAGGTCACAATTCAAAAGGGCTTTCAGAATCTCCTCCCTAACAGGCAATGTCCTATAAATCTCAGAGGAAGGGAAAGTGTTGTGCAAGAAAAACCCAAGCTTTATCCTAGGGTACCTTTTCCTTAGAATTGTGGGCATGACCATAAGGTGATAGTCTTGAATCCAGACATAATCCTCATCTGGGTTGATCACCTCCATGACCTTATCAGCAAAAACCTTGTTTGCTGACACATAGGCCTGCCACGTGGCCCTATCGAACCTCACACCATGGCTAGGGGTCAAAGGTAACATGTAATGAAACAAAGGCCAGAGATAATGTTTGCAGAACCCATGATAATACTTGTTCCTCAAATCCAAAGGCAAGAAAGTGGGTACACACCTAAACTTATCGAGAAGCAATTGGGCCACTTCCTCTTGCTCGCCGGGATCGATAATCTCCACCTCCGCCGCCCCCCGGAGGCTGCCGACGTAGATAACCTCCACATCCGCCGCCAACCCATCTCTCATCTGCAAAATCAAAGCGTCTAAGGCGTACTTATCCCACTCAAAGCTCCAATTCTGAGTCTCTGAATCTCTGTAACCCTTCACTGGCAAATAGTTCGCCACGATTATTCTCCTCTCCTTACCATTACTCTCCCCCACTACCCTCCCCTCTTCCTCGTCCGACGATCCGGAAAAATCGGAGATAATCCCCGGAACCGTCACCACCTTCGGCAGCCTAGCTCGATCGCCTCCATTGTAGTCCTCGAGATTCAACAGATTGAAACAAGACCTCGACAACATTTCAACCTCAAAAATCCCAAAAAAAAAAAACTTTCAGATTCAAAATTTCAAAGGGGGTCTGTGTTTCAGTGCCTGTATGAGTAAATAGTCTGTTTATATTCCTCTGTGTCGGAGAATTGTTGAAGAAGAAGAAGATGAAAAGAGGAAATACATAGAAGGTTCATGGAATAGGGAACATGTAAACTTTGGAGCTATGCAGGAGGCTATATAGCAATTTCGAGTAGAAAGCCTACAAGGATAACGCAGAAAGACAATTATATATGGAAAAGTATAAAAGAAGATCACCGCATATCTCCTCTTATCATTTAATTGCATCTATTTATTATTTATAAATTTATAAATTATAATTATAATTACTCCATTGATCAATAATAAAAAATAGACTTTTAGACCAGCAATGTGAAAGTTCGGAATCTACTGAAAATATATATAGAAAAATATAAGGTGTTGGAAGATCTAGATTCAATTCTTTGTACACAGATAAAAATTAGTATAGTAGACTGATTGTTTGACCAGTAATTAATCTCTATAATGGCTTTAAAAGTGGGGTCCTGTAAACTCACAATTAGTTCGATGAAACTGGGATGACCTATATATATATAATTCTCATGAAAATATAATTAGTAATTAATAGAATAAAATAGGAAACTGCTAAATAGGCTAAATTTCTTAATAAATATTTAGCTACCAAAACTGAGTTAATTATACAAAGTCCGAATGACAGATTTGGAAAAAATATTTTGGTTATATTGTCTTATAAGGAAATATATTAAATGAAATTATATCTTAAAGATATATAAAGTTTGTCCAATAAGGAAAAATAATCAATACCAAAGTTTAAACAAAATATTAAATATTGACTTTCTCGATTTAACTAAGTTATTCCTTTTGTGATTTTCGATATGAATATAGTATGTTCATTTGAAGGGTAACAGCTATGTCGTTTGGCCATAAGACCTTTAGCTATTTTACTGTAATAACTTAAATTTATATTTATTAATAAAATGAGACGCAAGAATTAATAGGAAATAAATAGTGATAATAATAGAGGATAAGAACCAAAAGAGAGAGAGAGAGAGAGGACCGACTTTGAAGTTTGAAGTTTGAAGTTTGAAGTACGTATGGAAGGGGGCGTCAGCGTTAGGTTGGGGTGGCGGGAGAGGGGGGAGTTGGGTAGGTGGTTTTGATGGCCAAGATTGACTCGTGACTCTTTCTTCTTTTTTTTTTTTTAAATAATAACAATTTTGTCGTAATGACCTCTTTTATATGTGAGGTTATGAAATCGAGTCTAAAATGTTATTGACTCTTTGTGTTTTATTAGATTGAGAAAGTATATTTAAACCGATACTAAAATGTAATAGAGTCAATCATATAAAAAATAATAATATTATTATTATTAATTTCGTTGTTGGTTTGAAAATACGGCGTACCGTGGATTTTCCTGTTGGATTAGATAGTTATCCACAAAGAGGTGACTGTGGGCCCCGCAGAAGAGGTGCCACGTGCCTAGATAAAACTGGGCCCCACTGTCCCACTTTATCCTCTTCTCTTCTCTTAATTTCTCCATATTTTAAATCAACCATTTTGAACTTTGTTTTGTACAGTACTTGAATTAAACTCTATTTTTATTTTAAAATAATGTTATTTTTGTTTCTAAAAATCTTTTATTTATTAATTATTATAAATTAATCCACTATTTAAAAATTTAATCTATTCATTAATTTAAAAAACACTCATCAAAGTTAACTAATCAATGAAGACACAATTTTTTTTATTAGTAAAGATGAGAACAAAGAATTTTTAGAGAGAATTTTATTATTTATCAATCGTGTTTATAAAGTACATGAAGGGAGAGATCGTACTTGTTAGGGCAAGATTAACAAAAGTAGGGTAACAAGAATTTTTAGAGAGAATTGTATTATTGATTAACCTTGTTTACAACAGGAATACAAGAGATAATCCAAGTTAAAGCAAAATTGGTAAAAGTAATGTTACCAAGAGACAATCCGGTCACGTTTGGAGAAGGTAGGCGACCAATTAGGTCACCTTCTCCAAACGCGACCGACGATCGTTTGACGATCGCCGATCGCTGATATTTGACATGGATTGTCAGAATTTGGTCGGGCGTTAGCTGAAGTTGACCAGAACCCTAGTTAACCTGCAAGTACAAGTTACAAGTTTAAGGCCCTAATTGACTTTTTTGATAAAGTTTAGGAGTTTATTTAATCATTTTTTCTAAAATAAATTTATGAAGAAAAATAATAATTTTTAAATAAAATAAATAATACTACATTTTTACAAAATTCACTCCTTAACCTACACTTCGTTGTAACGATTAAGTAAATTTGTTTTTTAAGTTACGTGAAAAACCCACAGTCACTATGCGAACATGTGACTATAGACGTCCATAGTTAGCAAAGGACAATAAGAAAGTAAATTAATCTAAATTGCGCATAGTTAATCGATTCAAACCAATAATATTAATAAGCCATCGAACATGTAACATTATGATTACTAATTCAACCGTGTGATCAATTTGGTCAAAATTATCCCTATTACGTAAAATTGTTATTTACACGTAATCTAGTTTATCAATTCAAATAATCAATTAAAATAAAAAGTTTAGCTAAGAAGTGAATATTAAATAATACTTTTTTATATAAAAAATTTTCTTCCAATAAAATATTATAAGTTGCCGTGAATTTTATGTTTATATAAATGGAACATATCCTTTGTCTAAGATCGTGCCATAGCATGCTGTCCTTTATTGATGCATGCGCTCTAAGAGGTGAATGTCTCTTGATGTTAATCCAAAACATATTTTCTTTTTCCTTTTTTTTTTAAATAAAAAAAATTCAGTTACAATGTGAAAAGACCCCAACCCTATCTTACTTGCCTAGAAGATGTTACTTCCAATTTTAAGTAAAGATATTTTATTATTTCATTGCCTTATTTACTGCACAGTTCTATTGAGACTTCTATTTGCCTAAAACTGTATATTCCTAAAGTATTTATCAATGTCCACAATTAAAATCTACCCTAAATTTAAAAGCATAGGTTGTAGGATTGGTGGGGAAGACTTCCGTGCCGGTTTAAGAGAAAAGAGGATAATTTTAATGCCATTTTGGTCAAATCTCAAAAAAGTAAATAAGTGAGTAAAATATGATTCTTATATCTAAATATCATTTTGAAAGGTATTATAATTTATTTTTATTTATTTAATTTATTTAATTATTTGATATGACTAAAATACATATATCTTTCCATTTTAGGGATTAGGCACTGCGATAAAGATAAATGAATATTTTTTTAGAATTAAAACCTGTCTTAAAATCATGAATAAGGGTTAAATCCAAATTTTATTTTTCAGCTATTACAATATTTTTAACTTTTAATTATCAAGTTTAATATATATTAACAAAATTGATTCCCTATTGTTGTAATTGGGCAATCCCATCTAAGTTAGTTAGCCTGTTGCTTTGATAATCACAAAGTTATAAATTCGACTTAAAGTAAAAGCACTTATTAGCCTTCTTAATTTGTGATAAACTATGAGCAACCTAATTAACCTGGTTTACTTCTGTATGGTCTTTTCTCAGGGTGGATTTTTAATTTGAAAATTGAAAAATAATTTTTCATTTTGAAAGCTCCAAAATATTTGTTTAGGTATGCTAATTTTACAAATCATTGTTATCTATCTTCTTTATTCCTTATCTACTTATACCAACATAATATAATCACATGAATTTGACAAATTTTTCTGACACAATTGTGTGGAACATAAATACAACGTACGTTTTTAATATATAAGTATATTATTTGTGTATTGAATATACATTATTTAATAGTATATAAATAAATGTACTTTCAGTATTTAAATAATGTACTTTCCCTGAATACAAGATATATTTTCAATATACTAAAAGTACATTATTTGTGTATTGAATGTACATTACTGATACTATACAAAATAATGTACTTTCAATACTCAAATAAAGTACTTTCCATGAATACAAGGTACATTTTTAATATACTAAAAGTAGATTATTTGTGTATTGAATGTACGTGATTTGATAGTATACAAAATAATGTATTTTCAGTATAATGTAATCTATGTACACAAATAATGTTTTTTTTTTTTTTTTTTTTTTGTGATCCACACACTTGTGTGGATCATGGTCAATAGAATAATAATTCCATTCATTTAGGGCTAGACATTATTCATATTATTGAAATTAAAACTTGAAATCTAAATTGATTTATAGAGTTTGGGTGAACCTGATAAGTAATTGATTTAGATATTTTTAGTTATGTTATATTTGAATATAAATTTATTTTAAATATCAAATATTACAATGTTGGAAATTATGGAATTTTCGACCATCTGAAGGTGATCTTAAATTAAGTCAAAAGTCTTGTTTTGACCACTTTTGGTATTCGAAAAAATCTTTATTGCTATTTTCGATCACTTTTTACTTTCGACTTGATTTAAGATCACTTTTCAGGTGGTCGAAAATTCCATAATTTTCAACCGTGCTAGAACTTCTTGTATACTATATTCGATAGAAAAAGATTATATACGCTCCACTTAAAGTAAACGTATCCAAAATATATATATATATATATATATATATATATATATATATATATATATATATATGCTTCGCTTAAAGTGAATTTATCCAAAAATATTTCGGATTTATACTTGAAACTTTAATTTTGTGATTAATTTTATAACATAATGCATTTATAGTGGCAAAATATTGAGTTTGGAAAAATGAATGTAGAAAAAGTGTGATGTTAACTATGTTATTGTCTTCATTTTCAGTACTTGTCCTCTTCTTTTTTATTGGTAGTGACTAGTGTGTCATGTGCAATTTGGTTACTGGTGGTAGCATAAATGACAGCGCCATGCAATTAGATTATGGTGTAGGAAGCTATGGATTTGCATTGTTGTGTATATGATTGGGATCTTAGATGTATTATGAACATTGGATATTGCAAGCGCATGTTGATATTTGACAGTGATAGGTTTTTTTCTCTACATGTTTCATGTATTGTTACATGTGTGTCGTAGATTCTCAATGTGAAAGAATTGAACAAAATATTAATATTTATTATATTTGTAGAAGGTTCATGAGTAGTACCTCTTGTTCTAGTTTCATAAGTCATAACTTGTTTACTTAATAGTAACAACAATTACTCTACAGGTAGTCTGAATACTGATACCGC